TGCTTAATAAATTGATTTCAACTTCCAATTGTAAAACGTCAAAATCTACCCGATGCAGTCAATTGTTAAAGTCGGCTAAGTGAACTGCCCTTTCATTTCCAGTGACAAGAGTGTTCAGTATCTCTGATTTATCTAAATTAAATGAAATTTATTAGATAGGTAGATTACATATTGATATATTAAAAAAAGTAGATTTTGTAAATTTTTGAGTTGATATATTACTTACTAACATCGACAAATCATTAGTCACTTTTGGAACAATAACTTGGGCCTACCTGGCTTCACTGCTATCAGACACAACAAAAATTTAAAAAAAAAATGATTTCATTAAAGTAGATATGTAATACGTTTTTTCCCTACCTTAAAACTGAAAAAAAATGAAATTTTGCATTTTAGTTGATGAAGGCATGATTCTCAAGATTCTAGCAGGACTTAGGCTGCATATGTACGAGGTGTGTTCAAAAAGTATCGTGAAAGTTTTGCTGACAGTTTTCTTCGATTGCAGGGGCGTGGTGCATCATGAGTTCTTCTTGCCACAGGGAGGAACGGTCAACAAGGAATATTATCTGCAAGTTATGCGCAATTTGCGCGAAGAAATCCGCCAGAAACGCCCGAATTTGTGAAAGAACAAAGATTGGCTTTTGCACCACGATAACGCCCCTGCTCACACATCATTGCTTGTGCCCCACTTTTTGGCCAAAAACAACACACTAATGATGCCGCAGCCACCGTAATCCCCAGATCTGGCCCCCTGTGACTTTTTCTTCTTCCCTCAACTGAAGAGGCCTATGAAAGGACGACGTTACGCTTCTCTTGACGAGATAAAGACGGCATCGAAGGAGGAGCTGAAGAAGATAAAAAAAAAAGAAGATTTTTGAAGTGCTTCAAAGATTGTAAAAACCGTTGGCACATGTGTATAATATCTCATGGGGATTACTTTGAAGGGGACAAAATATATATTCATGAATAAATAAAGAATTTTTGAAAAAACACATAATTCGCGATACTCGTATGTATGTGAGTTATCTTTGAATATGTAAATTCTGAAGGCTGTCTTCTTCCTTGTGTACCAAATTTTTTTCTTTTAATTTATTCCCTGTTTTTGTATTTATATCATATGTATATTTTGGTTTCACTGAATTTAGTTATTCCTTACTTGTTTAATACACTATCCCCTGAAAATATTTCTCCGGCTTTGATTTTATTATAATTTATTACATTCCAAGGTTAAATCCCAAATAATATTTAAACAATAACTTACAGTGGATTCTTTTCATTGAGATATTATTTATTGTTTCTTTTTGCCTTTTGCTTTCAAGGTTTTGTACAAATTGGGCTGCAAATTATTTAAATAAAAATATTGTTGAACATAAATATATAGTATAATGTGGAAAGTTGTAAATATTCGGCTATTCATAAACTAGTTATAATTTAAGTTTTTACGGCTGCTCATTTGATTAAAATTTAAAATTTTTATTTTAAAAGTGTTTACAATATATAATCTCAGATATTAAAACTACTTACAGATTTATGATATAAGTACTGATGCTTGTGATCACTAATTTGCATCCTCGAGACATTAAAGTTTCGTAAATCTTTGCAATATTTATTTTATTATTAAAATAAACATTCGTCCACAAATCACATAAAATGCAAGTTCGACTTCTGCTAAAAAATATTGGTTTTTATAAAGCTGGGGTTTTTTATGGAAACAATTTTTTTGGTTTCGAAAGCATCTTTGACTTCAAAATTACTGTTAATCAACATTTAATAATACTGTATTTTTTATTAAGCTAGCGGCATTAAATAAACATTCATATGTATTCGAATGAGTGTTATACATATGTCATTAAAATAATAGCCATTGACTATGTGTTAAACAGGTCACTCAAAGCTAACTAAATTTGTGATTTGTTATGCACTTCCTGCATATGTATTTCTTTATTATTTATATATTATAGATAATAAATAAATATATTTCTTTGACTTGTCTTGTTTTTATTATTCTAATGCATTGTTTATCTCATATAAATGTATCGGATCATATACTTGTAATTTATCCAAATTTACATCTATAAGAAACTACGTACGATATAATGTCTTATTACTGCTTATATTTTATTAAAAAATCTTTGTATTTAATGCTTACTTAAGTCCGGAAAAATATATATATTGCATATATTCTCTGATTAAGCTGACAAATGGTAAGTACAATTATTATTTTATGTGTTGGCTATTACTCATACTTCAAATGAAATATATTTACTTAAAATAACTTGCTCAAATGGATCGGAGTACTCAATGCTACATCATTCTTCGTAAATAACAAATATTATTCGCTACTGAAATTTCATCGCTCATTATTTGATTTTTGGTGTTTTTTATATTTGAGAGAATACCCGTTATCGATACTACTCACACTAATCATTACCATTAGAAAAACTATGATTAGCAAGTATATCTAGTCAAAATTATTACGATTTTCAATTGTTTAAACATACGAACATTGATCTTTTCGATTTATATACTTATTATACATAAGTGACTTTTATGACATTAACCCAATAAATATTCTTATACTCAACATGTAACATGTTTCTACAAAGTATAATAGTTTTAGTCGAAATCCGGGTGAATGTTTGTCTGTTCGTACACCCGAGATGGTACAAAAAAGAACAGCTCTCAAAATTGGACTTTAGGCATGGCTCCACTTACCTTTAGATGAAATCCAATATCTAAATAACTAATAGACCAATTTAAACCAACACCATATATATTGGTTATTATGTGACGCATCCCATTGAAAGTCACAAAGTAATAGTATGTCGTGATGTCAAATATGGACTAATGGCTCAATACTAAATTAGCTTTCACATCTTCTTCTTATATATAAAAATGAAACACTACTTTGGTATGTACGCGCATAACGCACGCATAAGACGTGAAAATTTGCACAGGTATTATTTTGATATCAAAAGTGAAAAGAATTCACACACAAAATATATATATTTCAAATCGAAAGCATGTGTTCAGTTTTCATGTAAGAATCATTTGAATATTTCTTTATATAAAAAAAAAAATATCATCACACAGTTACTGCCAGGGTTCAGTAATTTTGGGTTGGTTGGTACATACATAAATATGTTTATGAATTATACTGGTTGTTGTTAATGAAGAAGACTTTTGTTTTTGGACGCACCATTTGGAATCAAGACATTAATAGTATCACAACAGAATATCGTCTTAGCAGATGCATCGTCAGGTGTTGCGGCTACTTTGTTAGATGATCGAAGGACGCACAGACATTCATAACAAACCTAACAAAACATGCTACATAACAAAAAATAGCGGAATAGCTACAGTGCTGAAAAAAGTTCAACCATAATTTCAGCTGAGCTCCCGTGGTAGTTATCTTCAAAAAATTCCAGAGGGAATACCGTCGTATACTTGCGTAATATCAAAAGTTAAGGCAACCAGTCCAGACTCAAATACATCTGATATAATGACTTCTCACTTTTCAGCTAACTTTAAACCTTTTAAAATTGGTCAATAAATGAGTTAACTCAATGATATGAAATGGATATGTTTTCCTAAACATTATGAGGTTTAGCGCTGAATATGAATGAAATTGGTTAGACCGTTTCTCTTGTCGACCTTTTCCTCAACTGATTTAGCTACTTTGGTTGTGTATATATCACATACGAGTACATATCATTTGAGTTGATTACATTGATTTCAACATAAATACCTCGGGCATGAAACAGGTATAGCAATGAGGATGAGTGAGTCTAATGCTTATAATGTAAATTAATAAGACACCAAATATGAATACAATACTTTTAGGTTTTCGTCGAATAATTATATTTCAATCCCTTCGCCACATTTTTTAAGTTAAAGTTTTGCCAATACCTGATAATACTTAATTGGCTTTGATCTTTGCATATAACGAGAGTATAAAACGTTCGGTTACACTCGAACTTAGACCTTACGAGTTCCAAAGATCAAATTATTACATATCATGTATAAGTTATTAACTTCGGTTTCGTCAAATCGATAATACTTTTGAAAATAATCGCCCATTATTAGCTACGTTTAGGTTACTCGCAAACACGTTCGAGTAATTTTGTTACACGCTTAACTTAAAAAATATAAAGGAAATTTCTCCGAAATACAATTTGGTGGGGCATAAAACTTTCTCAGAACGTTGGAGGTATAAAAAACGGTTTCCTTCGTGCTTTTTCATTCGATGAAACTTGCGCACAAGTGATCGTTGAGGAAAAAATGTAAGTTGGGCGTTCACTATTACTTTATACGACACTCTTTATACGTTTCCCACGATAGCCGGTTCTACGTACCGGAATTGAACAGGATTTCATCCGGCTAAGAACTGTTTTTCAATTTGCAATTACTTTTTAGAAATGACAAAAAGACAAATTTTTTATATTAATTTCCTAAAAGTAAGTAGAATGTATGTGTAATATTAATTTTGCCGTTCTTCAGATAACGTGTATTTATTTTGTACATATGATAGTATTGGACACAAGCAATTACTCTTAAAAATGACATACTATATGTTATATTAAAATCCCTTTAAAATAGGTATTTGAATGAAACTTAAAAGCAAACTCTTCATTTATCTGTCCGCTACTAAACACATATCTGCTCTGGGGCCCCAAAATAATCATTTAGGAACATCCATTTACTTTTACCTTAAAAATGATAGACAATACTTAAGACTGCATTAGGATAATATACTTATTCAAATGACTTTTGGTATCAAAAACAAAAGAAGTAAACCAATGACTTCGCCAACGACCCATTATTATATTTTGTAGCTATTTACAGGGTTCGTCCGTAAAGAAATATGACTGATTTTCTTCCGAAGCGACTATACCTCGGAGCTTGCGCGTACCGATTGGATTCGTAGAGCGCGTTCCTAGCTAACGAACGAGAGGATTTCTCCGAGCACCTGGAGAGTCAGGACAAACATTTTCGCGCAAAGTGTTTCTGTGAGTGATGCAAACCGAAAATACAGTGTTCGTTAGAGCAGAGGTACGCGATTAAATTCTGTGTGATCAAACAAGCTTATTCAGATATTGCTTTACTAAGTGGTCCAAACCTTTTTGGAGGGCCGGGAAGAGATCGCCGATGAAGACTGGAAGAATGAGAAAATCCAAAGAGAAAACGATGCTGATTGTCTTTTTTGAAATCAATGGCATCGTCCACCTTGAATTTGTTCCTCCTGGACAAACCATCAACGACAACTTTTACGTGGAAGTCCTCTAGAGACTCAAACGAGGGGTAAACCGGGTCCGACTAGACAACGCAACCGTTTGGAGGTTACACCACGACAACGAAGTTACAACCCCTACCACTATTAAAACTTATTGCACATCGAACGTTGCGCTATGCGCTTTTGCTTTTCTTGCGGCACAGATGTAAGGAGCCTACGTGCGAAATTTTCATGGAACACTTGACGTGGTTTGACCCATCCTCACATATTTTTTCGCGTATTTTATATTTGTTCAACATCACAGTTTTGTGTAGTGTTGTTTCGTGCTCTGTTAATAATGATGATAAAAGGTACTAATGCGAAGTGTGCTGGGCACAATTGTGCTATGAAATGTTGAACTCATTCTTATACTAGGGCAATGCAGAATACTGTGCATCTCAGTTTGCAAAATTATGCAATTGCAAATATTTACCATCAACAATGAACGTCCTGTTTGTGGTTTCTGTGCAACCCTTGCAAAGAGAATTAATTTATAGTTGATCGGTGAAGAAAAAAAAAATTTTTGTAAGAAAAACTTTCGCACAAATTGGAAAATATGCCGAAAAAATATTTTAGTGATATATTAACTGACGCTTTAATTGAAGAAGCGCTGAAGAATTTGTATTATTCTTTTTTTTAACTGGTTTGCTCCATTTCTTCTTTTTGTTTACATGGTTTTTATTTTTGACAACACCTGATAATTTGCAAACCAGTGTTGCATATAATACAACGACGTTTTAGTGTTGTTGTTTTGCAAGGGTGCAGCAATTTTGCAATTGTAAGGATGCAAGACCATTTGCACCAGACTCTGAATTGCCCTACTAATTTATATTAAAAAGATGTTTGGTATTTGTACGAAAGTTTACAATTGACCGTTTATGCAAACTCGACAATGACAACTTACGTAATAAACGATTCGGTAGAAGTATTTTTGTGGCATTCAGTAACACTATTTCAAGGACCCTCTGTACTGATGTTAGACTTTAGCATTAAATACATTTGCTCATGATTAAGTTTAAGTATATGAAATGACCTCCTTTCTTAACGAGCATTTGAGTAAAAGTAGACGGAGTAAGGTTAGCAGCTACTGTTAATATTAGTAAGAGGGCTTCTAGTTTAGTCTAGGAACTTCTATGCTTTACTTTGATATTATTTCAAGATACTATCTTTATTTGATATTGCCGAAGGTAATATTCGATTTTATGTCTTCTTAATATATTTGCGAGGATTCAAAAATACAACAGGATAAAGTTAAATTCCTAGTTGTATTTCGCAAGTGCTTGGCTATAATCTTAAATATAATATAAGTTATATATTGGTATTATTGCAACAATTCTTAATTTCGATTATATGTGTGGTATTTCAATTTGTATTTTTCAGCTACTATACCAAAAATATGTCTGATGTTTCCGATTTCGTGCAGGCACTTCCCGTCGGTGATGCAGCAGACGCCAAAGAGTTGGCGCGGGTGGCTGCCAAAGGCGATCGCATATCCTGATTTAATGCGCCTGTTGTTTGACTTTCACTCCCGTCATAGTAGTAAGAAGAATCTTTTAGAAATCGAAGAAGTAGTGAATAGAAATAAAAGTTTAATGCTCCAAAAATTTATTGGCGATTAATACGAGTTTTTTAAGGAATACAAACGTAATCTATCTATAATATTTTTAAGCATTATCTTACACAATTCGATACTAACATCACTTTGGATTTTTTAAATTTATTTTTCACATTGAGCAAAATCTTTCTAATACTCATTGAACTAATAGTTCGATGAATTAGTTGAAAATTCTTATGGTATAATTCTGAAGATTAGATAAAGCTTAACTATTTTAAACATTAAATAGTTTACATTTATTAAACTTACTTAATAGACCAGTGCCTGCTGTATATCCATAAGACCCATACGCTGATCCATACTGAGAATATGCCGGATTATAGGTGTAGTCTGTGGTAGCCACAACGGACCCGCAAGCTGCTAAAAAAAAAAGAATATGCTGATGAAGAGAAATATTAATTCCGTTTCTCTTTCTTATATTTAAATCCAACTTCTCTCTTACACACGTAGATGAATAGTACTAAGTGAAAATAATCGATCATAATCAAATCGTTTTGTGCAAAGTCAAGTTGGGATACATACTAATAGAGGACAGGAAGCCAAATAACCGTAAAAATCGCGTGTGCGCGAAATGTTCAAGAGATCAATCTGAACAACTTTGCCTGCGATTTTTTAGGTCAAGTGTATTTTATCGGGATTAAAAAATTTTCTTCGTTATCTCTCCGACATCCAAAAGAAATTACATGCATAGGGGCATATTGTTATTCTATTGATCATTTGTCAGAATCGGCCAGATCGGACAAATATGTCACATACCTCCTACACAACCTACTTGCAATAATCTTTATTTATTTATTCGTTTGCTCGAAATCTGTTTTAGACACATATTCTTTCATGCAAAGTTGTTCAGAATGATCCGTTGAACATTTTCCGCTTACGCGAGTTTATAGAAAAAAATCGACTACATATACTTAGCTTGAAGTGTTGTTCATAAAATTATATTTTACTTATACATATGCATCCACAAATTTACGATAAATATTTTACTTAAATAAATTATTTTAACTATACAAAAGAATGTCGTCGTAAAGTGCAAAACATACAGGGGTTGCGTTTACTGCAGCGTCGCGTTGAAAGTGGGCTTAAAGTAAATAATTTTGATTATAGCTCTCTCCTGCATCAATTTCGAATAGCTTTAGTCTTACTTTATTACTATTTTATTTTTAGGCTTGATTACTTCCTGGCAAGTATTTTTTGTTTAGTTTAGAAGATAAATTGCGCCAAAAAAGGTTATGTTAACATAGTATTCAGTCATAGAGGTTAAATAGTATTAATGTTATGCAGGGTGGGATTGTGGTAAATTCTTTTGTTTTTGAAATCAATACATAACAACGTGTCTATAATATAAAAGTAATTAAATGGATAAATTAGCTATTAAAAGTAATAATAGGACCCAGTTGTGGAATTGTTTTAAAATATACTCCAAAGGGTTTTAAGATATAATATATGCTACTTTCCTTAAATACAAAGGGTATTTCCAACTTTGTATTATAAAATACTAGTTTTGTACTTGTAAATACTTGCACAATTGTAAATATTATATTATTACACTGTGATAGCTTTTTTCAAAAAAAAAAAAAAAAAAAAAAAAAAAAAAAAAAAAAAAAAAAAAAAAAAAAAAAAAAAAAAAAAAAAAACAATACCAAATTCGACGGTTTCTCCCTATTTCGGGTCCTACGAATCGAACTGCATCATTACCTTTTTGAGGTACAATCATGGTTTCATACAAAAATTTTTGTTGAAGTTTTTCATCAAAGTGGCCCATTGTAAGAGAAAGGCACATTTTTCTTCGGTCTCTAACTTTTTTAATGTTGACTTTTTTGGTAAACTTTCTTTGGCAAAGCTTCTCAGAATAAGTCCGTTTTTAAGTTATTAGACAACTGTAAACCCCAAAATCAATGTTTTTTGCGTCCTTATAGCCAATATGTTGAAAAAACTGAAATTTAATCCATTTTTTTAATGTTTTTTCCCTCACGTTTCGTCAATATTTTAATTTACCCTTTGATACTTATACATTAAGCGACATTTTGTAATAGTAAGAAACTTAAGCAAAGACAACGTTCTGAGCAAACTAACCATTAGAAAAAAAAAACTTAACAAAATTTGTATTTTTTAAAAAAGCTACACTAACTATGTTTGTGTGTTGTTTCATTTTTTTTGTATCTTATAAGTGTTATCAATAAGTATCATAAATTGGTACACAATATATAAATTAAATTTAATAAGAGTCATCTATCAATGTCCAACACAAATCAGCAAGCAACGAGTTAAGCTTTTCGCCGCTGTACCAATGCTCAAGGGGGGCGGCGACTTGGTGAAATCTTTCTCCATGCTCATCAGATTCAGTCGGAACTTGCTGCTCAAAATGGTCCTTATGATGGTGAAGGAAATGAATTTTTAAGGACATATTCACACCTATTTCTTCAAAAGCGTCTACCATGTCATCCACATATTTTTTCCAACCTTCAGACCGGAGTGCACTCCTAAGCAATGGTTTATATTTATAATATATTCTGAGAGCTTTGCCAAAGAACGTTTACCAAAAAAGTCAACATCAAAAAAGTTAGAGATCGAAGAAAAATGTGCCTTTCTCTTAAAATGGGCCACTTTGATGAAAAACTTCAATAAAAATTCTTGTATGAAACCATAATTGTAACTCAAAAAAGTAATGATGCAGTTCGATTCGTAGGACCCGAAATAGGGAGAAACCGTCGAATTTAGTCTTGTCTTTTTTTTGACTATCATGTTGTTGTGTTATTATTAATAATGATAATTACTTTTCTTAAACATATACAAACGTAGGTTGCTTCGTTTATTTTATTCACACGAAAATAAAAGAAGTATTTCGACGCTAAGTCAGAACTTTACGGTGCTTTACTAATCAAATTCATGTTTTAAGTGATCAAAAATGAAATGTATGAGAGCTCGCATTGCCGTGGTGAAGAAAGATTGTGTACCACTCAGACTTTACTCCTCTGTATTGTTCTAGAGGTGGGGTTACGACATGTTTAGTTTTTCTAAAAAAACAGGCAACCGTTTGTTTGGAGATGCTTCGTGAGCGAGTAGCTTTTTTGGTTTCGGCTCATTTTGAAATATTCATACAGTGGACTACTGTTAACTTTCGGGCTTATTCGCATAAATTCACGGTTCACCACCTGTCACCTTGTCATAAACGTGTTTCGAATTACCGTTATAGCATTATTTTGACATTTCTCTCGGCCTCTCTTGAGTGATACACAAAAGTGCCAACGAGAAAACAATTTTTCTGCAATGAAATTGCAATATCACTTTTTCCAGAGTCAGAATTAATAGTTTCCGGAGAAAGAATTGATGTGAACGAGCTTCAAGAAGTTCGTCTTGGGATGATTTGAATTTATAATACCATCGATAACCGCTAGTCATTGATGGAGGTTCATCGCGCAAAATTGAGTTAAGTTCATCGATGCACTGCTGCTGAGGCATGATTCATGTCGAAAGTTGTAAAAAATAGTTGCGTGAAATGTGAATAATATTTTAAGTTCTTTAAACAACTCAAACAGCACTCGTATGTCAAAACTTTCTGACTATGTATAAAATCAAAATTGTTATATGTACTTATTATATACACTTATACATATAGTTATTTAGCCATTTTGGAAAGGAGTTCAACTTGTACTTATTAATATGTACACCGGTCAATGAAAGTATTCAACATATGTATATATTATTTTGTTTGTTTTTTAATATTCCTTAATATAATCAAATAAGATACCAAAAAACAGTCCAATCTTTTAGTTAGTTTGCAACCTGATAAGTTTTATAATAACCAAACAAAAAAGCTAACGAAAATGGCACGAAAAAAATATACCCCGAAAATTAAAGTAAAAAAATAATCGACAATTACGCAAAAGAGCGAATTCCAATGCTTAAAGTAAAGAGTAACGATGGGTTTGAAAATTTTACTTAACATTGAGCAATTGTTCGTTATACTCGTATTATAAAAATGGAAAGATAAGACCTCGGTTAAAAATCATCCACTGTGTGGTCGCCCTTACGCATTTTCTAAAACAAACGAATGTTCGTTGGTACGTAAGGTCAAAAAAGAAACCAAAACAAATGCCAAGGCCTTAAAGAAAGCCTTAATATAGATGTGACTCTCCAAACCATTCCAAATTTTTAGAAGGGAGTGGGGAGAGTTGCGCGTAAAAAGCCAAATATCTTTAAAAAGTTTAAGTTTAATAAAATTATACATAAATAAGCCCGCTGAATTTTGGAATAATGTGATCTTTGCATTTGAAAGCAAATTTAACCTTTTTAGAAATGATGGCAAAATAATTGCATACTGTGTGTGCAATATGTATATAGTGCAGGAAATCTCGCAATCGGACCAGCTTTCCAGTTTTACCAAGATAACGACTCAAAGCATTTCGCACTAAATACAAATCTGTTGCTTTTATACAATTGCCCTGGAGTAATCAAAACTTCTACTCAAAGTCAAGTTTTAAATCACAAAGCAAAACCCAAATGAAACAGAAAATAATAGAACATGGTAAAATATAGACATATCTATAACAAGAAAATTGGTCGAATCCATACGTCGACGTTTAAAAGATATAGTCCGAAGAAAAGGAAGAACTACGAGATATTAAAAAATGACATTTTGCTTTTTAATTTGGATTCTGAATTATCGAATATTACTTTACTTTTATTTTTTTAGTTATTCTGTTTAGTGCGTTTTTGGTCAGTTTTGTTGTTTTTATTATCATAAAATTTGTCAAGTTACAAACTAAATAATAGTTTGATTTAAAAAAGCCCTGAACAGGGTATATTAAGTTTGTCACGAAGTTTGTAACACCCAGAAGGAAGCGTCAGCGCCCTTATAATGTATATACATATATAAATAATCAGTATGTTGAGCTGAGTCGATTTGGCCATGACCGTCTGTCTGTCTGTATATATACGAACTAGTCCCACAGTTTTTAAGATATCTTTTTGAAAATTTGCAAACGTCATTTTCTCTTGTCGGAACTGCCGATATCGGATCACTATAACATATAGCTGCCATACAAACTGAACGATCGGAATCAAGTTCTTGTATGGAAAACTTTCGGATTTGACAAGATAATTGTGTAATATACGAAGAAATTGTTCAGATCGGCTTACTATATCATATAGTTGCTATACAAACTGAACGATCGGAATCTAGTGCTGGTATGGAAAACTTTTGCATTTGACAAGATATATTGAGAAAAATTGGTATAGATGACTTTCCAAGGCAACAATGTAATCACCGAAGAAATTGTTCAGATCGGTTAACTATAGCATACAGCTGCCATACAAACTGGATGATCGGAATCAAATGCTTTCATGGGAAACTTCCTCATTTGACGATATATCTTCAAGAAATTTGGTATGAGTTATTGTTCATAGAAATAATGTAATATCGGAAGAAATTGTTTAAAACGGCTCACTATAGCATATAGTTGCCATACAAACCGAACGATTAGAATCAAAGGCTTGTATGGAAAACTTTCGCATTTGACGTGGTATTTTGACGTGGATTACTGCTTAAGACGGTGATGTAATCTCCGAAAAAATTGTTTGGATCGGATTACTACAGCATATAGCTTCCATACAAACTAAACACATAGTTACTAAATGAAATGCTTCAGTGCTAATATACCCAGCTTCGGTGCAGCCGAAGTTAACGTTTTTTTGTTTGGTTATATTAATAAATATGTCAGAGAAAAAATAAAGAAATGCAGATGTCTAATACTTTCTTTGGCCAGTGTAGTTTAGAATTTTATTTCATTTGTGGAAAAGTATGTGTATTTGAGTGATTTCGTAACGATAAATTTTTGCATTTGGTTAGAAAAAGTTGATCTACATAAAATTTTGTTTAAAAGTAGTTATTTAGTACATAATTGTGCACTTTAATAGTGATAGAGTGTTTTAGTTATAATGGGAGGTAATCATAAGAAGTGCATATATAATGTGGACGAAATATATAGGTGACTACTACAAGTATGTTAGGTGTTGCGTATTTTTTCTAAAATGAGTACAAATACTGAACGGATAGCACATTTTCTTAAATACAGGTTTATATATGACTCAACTAAGTGAAGCACTTGCCTGCCGAATAATGGTTAAAATTGGGTAAAATCGTGGAATATTCTGCAGGATTATTATTTATGGAATCACCGCCTGAGGTATCTCTTGGTTGGGCACTTGGCTGAAGAAGTATAAGAGGTGAATTTATGACACTGGATTGTAGAACCTGCTGTTGAATGTGCTGGCGATGATGTTCACAACTTTGTTCATTCGTATTTAAATGCAAATCAGGACGCCTAGTAACATTACCGCTTATATCGTTTCTATTGTGTTTTTCAAGTACATTTAGCAAACGTCTTTGTTGTTGAGTATTAGACGATACAGCCATTGTGGATACTTCTGTTATGATATGGTTGGGAACGCCATTTTTGGCACTTTCACCTCTGTTAATTAATGATGTGGTTATGGCTGATCTATTTTCTATTGAAGGTATTATACTATCATCTTGTGCTCCATCGTCATTGTTAATATCAGTATTTCCAGTTAAAATTGCAATAGGTAGTATTCCGGATGGTAATGCTACATTACCACTAGAATGAGAACCAACTGATGCCGGTTCACTGTTCATTGAGCCCACTGTATTATCTACATGTGCTATTGTTCCATAGTGCCCATTTTCTATGGCTATTGCTATGAGAACAGTATAAAAATAAGTAACAAATAAAATCTATACGAAATAAAAGTAGATTTAACAAATAAAACAAAAAAGACGTTCACAGATATTGCCGAGTAACTCTACTCACTAAAATCCGAATTATATATGTATGTATACATTATTAAAACTATATTCATAAGCCCTTTCTGAAAATAAAAAATTTATATAATGTCCTTATATTATGTATGCAACTATTGTTGTTAAAGTGAAACTTTTTATTTATCATTTTAATTTTATAGCCCAGCTGTCTCATGTCGCATTACAGTTTTCCATATTTATTTTCCTAAAAAAGTTTTAGTACCACCTTAGTGTTTGCCCGTGAACAATTGTAGTTTATTTAGCAAACAAATAAACTTTTACTTTTGAGAATAATTGGTCGTTTGAGCGATTTTACTTGGGAAAAATATGCAAAATAAAACTGACTCAAATATGCAAAGTATAATTTGGTAGCGTTGAAGAAAGCAGTTATAAGTACTTCTTCAGCGCGGTATCCACATACTCTTTTGTACGAATTCGACTCGAAAATTTGTTGTGCTTTTACATGTAATTTTTTATGAGAGAGGTGCGAATCGAACACAGCTTACACCTGTACATCTTGGTACGCATTACCATATGTACAATCACACACTACATGTCATCAAGTATCATTCAAGTGAATGATATAACTATATAATTTTGCTATTGGTCAATTTGATAATAAAATAAAACTTGTAATTGCCTCAAATTATATTAAAATGAATCCAAAAATTAGAAAAATATACTCGCGAATGACTGTTTTTGATGTGGTAATTTCAATACAGATTATAAGCAAAAAAACTTCCCATAAAATTTATAATACCCAGTTCAACATGAGGTGAGTCCATTTAGCCATATCCGCGAACTAATCTCTCAGGATTTGAGAAATCGAATTGAAACTTTGCATATGTTCTTTTCTCCTACAAGAACCTCAATTCTTGGCACCGTCGATATTGAACCACTATATCATATAGCAACCATACAAAATGAACTATCAGATTAATGTCCTTGTTTGAAAATATTTTTTTTATGAAATTTCGTATAGATTTTTGTTTAAATTAACATGAATGAATACAGAAACTTTTATGTTTATAAAGGTTATTATGACTTCGCTGCTGCCGATTTTTCATAATTCATTATTGCGGGAGATTTCCTTCCACATAAAAGGTTTCAATTGGGTTTAGAATCTCATCCTACAACACGCCCTTCTGATGCCACCAATTCCCGTTTTTTTTTTGCATTTGGGTTGTCGTCAGGGATCCATCACAATATTCTCAGTCAAGTGCCACTTTTGGCATGTCCGCTCAGATAGAGTTTTTCGGCCGAGGTCTTCTTCATTCTAAATGAAGAAATAATTCTAATGTTCCATTCTAATGTTGAAATAAAAAAGTTTTCGCACTTTTTCATGATCGCCCAAGTAACAAGTCATCGCTCGTACAAAAATTAATTCGTCTTATTATATACTTAATTGAGAGTAACTTGGAAATTAGATCGTTAAACAAAAATCCACTATCAACTCAAAGTTTGAAACTGTTAACGACTGATCATTTACTTTTAGAATGCTTTAAGTAGGCATATACTTATGGAGAATCCGAGAATATGTACCCATTCCATAGGTAGGCAAAGGTTACTTCAATAATAAAACAGTTGTATCCACGATATTGTGATAAAAAGTACTTGTTTCCAATATGCTCATAGTAGGATGCGGTAAGTTCGGATTTAAAACTAAGACTATCTGTCAGTCGCGGACTCAATGGCAAATTAGTCAAATAATTGATATTGGCACAATACGATAGTTCGGGAGGAGCTATGATACGGACTACAGTCGGGAAATTATATGCTTTGAGGCTTGGAAATAATCAATGTTATTAGAGCTGTGCTGCTCACAAGTATGTCAATCTGACAGTTTAAAGATTTATCAAAAATTTAAATCAAAGTTGAGAAAATATAATTTAGTGCTATATTATTTGGGAATCGTTTACAGCCACATTATTTATCGTATACTAGTCGATCAGTTTTACTACTTTAACTTTCTTTGCATACGAATTTAACTAGTTTAATTATTTATGCGAGATATGCCCATCTACTTCGAAAGAGCCGAGCTACGCTCCGTTTGGAGTTTAGTAGCTTAATAGGTGTTGACGTTTTATCCCTCACACTTTTACATTAAGGTTTTATCACATTTCTACAAAATATTTACAATTTTACAAAGTATCACATAATAATATTTTTGTTGTTTTCTACGTTTTAGCTAATTTAAATTACATTTATGGTACGTATCTCACTTTGCTTACCTGTGTAATAAGATGATATGTTTGTTTCAAGTGAACTTGTATTTAGTTTCATGTCTGACATATTTATAGGCACTAGAGGGGTTAACGAATTACTGCCTGATAAAAGGTTATAATTAAAAGAGCAATGAAATTATATGAATGCAAAAATCAATAGAAAATAAAAAATAATTGTATAATTTATTTGCAGTCTAAGTTTTCGCATCATGTTACATTTACATATGATAAAAACCATTGAATGGATTACTGTGTTAGCATTTTGCAAAGTTTTAGACAGGAACTTAATAGTTTTGATTGATTAAAAGTTAGATAACTATGCTTGGATGTAACGATTACAGTATTTCGACACTTTTATTGTAGAGATATTTCTGTTCTATACTTACCAATGGATGCTCCTAGGGACGGTGTATATAGCGAGTTTTGCGATATTGATGTAATACTGTCATAAATCATTGCATCGTTTCCGGCGGCTCCTGTCGAAGGAAAATTATTGTGGGTGTCATAATAGGCTGTATTACTGTTCGTAGTCAAACCACTTAATTCCGACAGAAGCTTATGCTCATCCTTAATGCACCATTTCCCAGACCAAATCTGTTTTACCAAAACAGAATTTAATTCAGGAAAGAAAAACATATTAATGACAATAACTATAGACATAAATTGTATAACACTTGCGTTTGAATAGATTTGGTCCCCACTGTATGCTATTCTTTGCCTCTTTATGTCGTCCTCTGAAGGCATATTAACATCTCGACTTTCATCTGCAAGTATAAATTGTTGGTATTTACGTTTTAGGATATAATAAAGAGATTTATTCGGTGCATAAAGCTCTGCTGAAGCTTCAAAGCGTACTCGTGAAGACATGTGTGCTTACATATGTATTTACAAGTTTAAAATAAACTATTCATTGACGAATGTACATAAATAAGATTGCTTCCATATAACCAACTTAAAATAAAACAATATTGAGACCACCAAAAAATATTACAGGATGCCGATTGCTTGATAAGCATTTTCAATCTTTTACACATTAGATACACTAAAGGACAATTAGTTTATGTAAGCATTAATTAATAAGCTTACGAGTTCTTGGAAAAAAAGGAATCAGTCTCAACTCCGAGCTCAAACCAATAGGTTTTATTTCTCTCAGCGGTTTGGCTGAAAAATATATTTTTGGGAAGATTGCTTAGTAGATATAAAATATTGCGGGCGCGATACACATACTGAAAAGAAGTGTAAAACAGTTAAAGTTAAAGCCACCTGAAGGTGTTTCTTAATAATAAAAACTAGTTTGTCCGAAAAGCAATAGGATTGCTTTTCTGTCGACGCGACTGTACTTCGGAGTGTGCGGGCACTGACTGGATTCGGTAGAGGGCGTTCCTAACGAACGAGCGAATGGTTAGTTATCCTCGAGTACCGCGACAGTCAGGACAAACAATTCGCGCGAAGTGTTTTTGTGAGTGGTGCAAGCCGAAAATGCAGTGTTCGTTAGAGCAGAGAGAGATGCGTTCAAATTCTGCGTGAAACTCGGTATATCTCCGACAGGAACGCCTGACGAAGCAGGATTACCCAGATGTTGATTTAGCAAGAAGTGGTGTGTTTTGGTGGCACCAGACCTTTTTGAAGGGCCGGGAAAAGGTCGGTGATGAAGACCGGAAGAATGAGCAAATGCAAAGTGAAAATGATGCTCATTACTTTTTTTTGTTTTTGATATCACCATGAGTTTGTTCATCCTGCACGGACCTTCAACACAAAGTTTTACGTGGAAGTCCTCAAGAGACTCAAAAGAAGGTAAATCGGGTCCTACAAGACATCGCAGTCGATTGAAAGTTACATTAAGACAACGCGACGGCTCACACCGCCTTTCTTGTGAACAGCTACCTAACCAAAGCCGGCACGCCAACTCTTCCGCAGCGTTAAAAATTGGTTGAAAAAAATTTTAAATCGACTAAGTCTTATAACTTTTCGCATTAACCCTGTAGAAAAAAAAACGGCCCACAACCACACAACTAACGGATCAACAAAGAATCAGCACATAGAAAACAAAATTTCGAGAAGTTTAATGGTATTTATATTATAAATATTTTTTGACATTTAAGTACATTGTTTTTTGGTCAGCAAAAATCCCCTGCTGATTTCTCCCCAAGGGTGCCGATTGGTAATAGATATCACGCTTTCCCGAAGTAAGCAGGGACGGCCAGCAATAGTTCGCCCCTGTTGTAGTAGTGATGCTTATAGCTAATGTCAGTCCCTCGACCTGGGCGTTCATTGCTCGTCAATAGCACAACATCCAAATGCGGAGTCTTTCCATGGTAGGAGGTACAAAAAGGGCTGGATCAAGGTGTCATGCGACCGGTATCGTGCATTAATCTGCCAGGAGATAGCCCAGTCTTTACTTGCGCAGCGGGGGCTATCCACAAGAGGACATACTTTGCTAAAAAGTAATAATCAAACCACTAATTTAAAGGAGTCCGGAGGAGCTAGTTGTCCCCAGAAGAGAGAAGCGCTTGCTGGTGATGAATATGTGCTTTGTGCTACAAAGCAGTTTAGGTGCGCCACCGTCAAGCTAGTAACGGTAAACAGGAAGGATATCCCATCCCGAACAAGGGCAAGACCCTACCATCAAAATTAGCCAACTGAGGGGTGGAGATTTGTCAAGGCCGTCGAGGACCCCGAGGCAAAATTTGGTGCGGAGATGAAACGAGAAACAATGTAGATTATGCTATTGTTAACAAAAAGATGCATAGATCCGCTGAAGATAAGTGGCATTGAGATTTCCTGTGGTTTCACAAGGTGAAGTATTGATAGCTATCCCACTACTCTTCTCCTTGGGATAGTTTGGCTAAATTGAATTGATTCTTGCATTCTTTATGTACTACGTATTATTGGACAAGCCCACTCTAATTCTTGTCTTAAGTTCATATACATATAAAAGAAGTAAAGAAAGCAAAAACTTAGTGGAAGTCTTTTTGTGATGATATCGAGAATGCGGAGGAAGAGTCTCGATTTGGGAAAATAATAGCACAATCGGTGCATATCCGTAGTATTGGTTACCTTCAGAAGGCAGACAAGGCTGAACTGTACTCAGTCTTTAGGCTTTCTAATGGATACTCACTTCTCAGGTAGCACTGAAAACTACACAAAAGAGCATACAGAGTAAGAATCGTCAAATAAACATTCCCACCAAAACTGCTGACAGCAAGCTAAAGTTGACAAATATCGTATAAACATTCTCATCAAACCTGCTGACGGCATTAACTGCACAAACGTAAATAATAAACGTTTCATATAAGTTAGCAACATTAAAGTTAACTGCGGTAAGCAGAATAATGCTCGATAAGCAATTAGCCAACAACATCCGGCACGCGCAGTATAAACTACAGCCAGGCTGACCAACAATAATGCAACCATTGCAATCAACATCCGGCACACGTGGAATAACGTGACACATCAATAGTGCTAGCATAAGTAATTTTTAAGCTATAAATAATTGATAATAAAAATTGTAATTTTAGTTTAAGCAGAACAGTTTGGCAATAAAGGTAATTTTTGGCCAAAAATATAAATTTTTTTAGCCGTTTTAATTTAACCGGCAATAATTGACCTAAAAAGTGCCGTTAAGAAATATATAAAATGGTAGTACATAATATTCTTAATAATAAAATAAACCCGGTCATTACGGGCGAAACAATTCCAAAACAACACGAACGAAATGGATAAGATTCCAGACGTTGTGAAATCCGTAAGGGAATTTTCAGGAAGTGCCTCAGAATTTAGAACCTGGAAAAAAAGTGTCGAACGCATTTTAAGAATCTACGAACCCTCAAAAGGGACACCTAAGTATTTCGGCATTTTAAATGTCATCAGAAATAAGATAGTTGGAAAGGCAGATATAGCCTTAGAATCCTACAACACCCCCCTAGACTGGACAGCAATCTCACGCTGCTTGACTACCCACTACGCAGACAAACGAGACATAGGCACTCTAGAGTACCAAATGACATGTCTCATACAAGGACGAATGACAATTAGCGAATTTTACCAAAAGGTATATGGACACTTATCTTTAATTCTGAACAAGATAGGATGTATGGAGATAGGAGAAGAAGCAATCCACTTGTTAACGGAGAATTACTGCGCTAAAACCCTCGATACTTTTATAAGAGGACTTTCTGGTGATCTTCCCCGGCTACTTGGCATTAAAGAACCATAAAGCCTACCCGAAGCCCTCCATCTTTGTCTCAAATTAGAAAACCAAAGCTTCAGAGCTTCTCACGCTAATAACCAAACCTCTATCACACCATCAACTTCTCGCTAACAACACACAAATCAGCAACAGCCACGACGGCAATACACCCAACCCAGATATCATCAACCATTAAACCCTCAAACAACATCCTTATCCTGAACTAGCTTATCTACCAAATCCCTTGACGTATTCCAACCCACGAAACTACCATACCAACCAACTAAACCTTAATCATTCTAACATCCAACAACATTCAAATCGGAATCCAAATCAATTTAATCAACAATATCGGCAACAAAACCAGAATCTATATAGTCCATGCCACATTGCTCCTCCTAGACCTCCTAAACCACCTCAACCGATGGACATGGATGAAAGCATAAGGACAAGAGCTGTTAATTACACAAATCGGCCAAAACCCCAGGAATCCGGTAAAAGACCATCAAACGCTTCAATGATAAATAACCCCCCACAAAAACTGCAAAGAAGCTTTTACATAAATTCTAACCAACCACCAGAGGACCAATGCAATGAGAGCGTATACAACTACAATGACCAATACAACTACAATAACCAATACGACTACAATGAGCAAACATACAATGACCCAAATCACAAGGACACAATTGAAGAAACACTCGACCTCTTTGACGTACATTTTTTAGACTAAATAGCTCTTCGCTACCTTATTTCATATGCATCACGAAGAGCGGCGAAATAATGCAAATATTAGTACACACCGGAACCAATAAAAATTACATACAATCAAACTTAGTAGAAAAGAAATGGCGAACAATACTCAGTAGGCGGCAAAATAAAAATTACTCACCATACATATTTAAATCTTTTCAGTTTGGAAAATTGCAAATTAAAATTTTTCCTATTGCTTTTCATGCCATATTAGGAAACGAAAATTACATGGTAATAGCAAATACGAAAATAATCTATCTGAGACAATATAGTGTACAGGACGTTAACTTAATACATATCCGCGACGAACATATGAGTACAATAGAAAAACATGCAATTAGGAAACTAGTACAAAAGCACCGAAACCTATTTTCGGAACCGGACGAAAAACTAACCTACACAACAAAAGCAGTTGCAGGAATTCGAACAAATTCAGACACTCCTATATACTCCAAGTCCTACCATTATCCTATTAGCCTTAAACAGGAAGTTGAAAAGAAAGTAAATAAATTATTAGACGACGGTATCATACGACAATCAAGATCACCCTACAACTCACCTGTATGGGTAGTGCCTAAAAAACAGGACGCGTCTGGCAGAAACAAATTTAGAATGGTTATAGATTAAAGGAAGCTAAACGCAGTTACAGTTGCAGATAGGTATCTAATACCTGGAATAAATGAAGATCTCTCCCAACTAGGAGAAAACCGAATTTTCTCTGTGATTGGAATCTGACGTGGAAAAAACAGCAACAGCAACAATGGGAAATACAAGTTCACCGTTTGGTTTGAAAAATGCCCCAGCCATATTTCAAGGTACGCT